GTAAGTGCCACTAGTTATCAAATTATTATATTAAACTTTACATACCAATTTAATTTATATAAATATTTAGGAGTTATTTACTGATTATCCTGCAAACGCGTCAAAAATTGAATCAATGCGTAAGCATGTGGATGAGTTTCAAAAAGAAAGATGGGATACAAACTGGAATCGCGTTGTTTTACCTTTATTAAATACATAACACAAATGTAGTTTTGCACGTATACCTTTAACGATTTTGAAAAAGTTTATTTCAAATAAAGAAACAAATACATATTATAGTTTCTTTGAAGCACAATAAAATTCTAAAATTTAATATCTTTAAGGAAATTAAATTCTACGTAATACTATTAAATTTGAATCTTACAGGTTACTATTGAAAGATAGTACCTTATAAGTTCACGCCTCCTTCAAGCTGAATTGCAAATTTTGTGAAAATGTATCCATTATGAAAATATTGTTTCGGCACTAATTGAACTTTCCCTAAAGAAAACTTTCGAGATGATTCATTAGCTTGCATTCTTGAAAATCTTTCGACTTCTTTATTATGATCATCTATCATTGCCTGGACAACGAGATATTCTTGATAAGGATCAAAATAACGAATAGGAAGAAATACCGTATTTGCGATTGCTTTTTGAACTTTTCCACGCAATCTTAAATCATCAAAAAATAATTGAAACCTTTTTACGTGATGTGCTCGATCATCCCATAAACGAATTGATTTAGCAGAAGGATGATGCTGAAGTAACTCCCTTATAAATATGAGCTTAAATTCCTTCGTAGTAACCCTATTGTTAATAATGTTCTTTAATTTTTTGCGGGAAGAATGACTACCATTATTTGGTTCTTCTAGGTCTTCTGTCATATCAGCTTTAACCAATGATGTTTCGTTACGGATGAGTTCTTCATATTTCCTATCACCCACTTTTTGAATAATTGATGACTTATAACACAAATCCCATTCGATAGTAATTTGATCAGGCTTTAATCCCATCACGTCGAATTTTAAACCTTTTCGTTCTACCATATCCGTGATGATATGATGAAATTCTGAATAGCCGCGTCCGGTAAGTAATACTGTTAATGAATTTGGATGTTTTACTGAATCACGAACGAGATCCACCATCTCATCATTCCACCACCCTTTCCACCTTCGTCGTCTTACTGATTCATCAAAAATTAATGATTTTCTATGTTGATACCAACCTTTGAAAATCATAGAATCACTTTTAAGGTATCCAAATAATGGATCCTCCCACAACTCGCAATTTGGTTGTGGTGACGCGAAAAGCGTACCATCAAAATCGAAAATATTAATTCTAGTTATAGGGTCCACGTCTGTACTAGGTTTTTTGGAGTCGTTCATGACTTTTTTAATTAGTTTTAGACCAGAGTTTGGCTATTCGAAACCTTTTTATCTTTATTAGGCGTCACAAATTATTTCGTGGTGATAAATAATGAGTCAAATTTTGATCGTCTTAATAATCAAGAATTCTAATTGGTTAAATAAGGGTTCTTTAGGGGTATACATGATTATTTTGACCAATCAAATCAAACAAATTCGACAAAATCTAAACAAATCGAAATTTCACTTATTAAGTAAAGTTGTTTGACGAGAATTTTGATATACCGGGTTGGTGAAAAGTAACTGAACAGTGACCTTTTTAAATAAATGAATCATAGTGATTAACTGTTAATGTTCAACCTGGTATAACCTTTGGCGCAGAAAATTTCTGCGCCAAAATATAACTTATAATGAAAACTCCGAAATAGCGCCTATTTCGAGCACTGCCCATGGACGTTATTGTTAATTTTGAACTGCGTATTATAAGATCAATTGGCTTTAACTGTTAATAAATTAAAATATACGCGTAACATGGTATTAATGTTTAGGGAGTCACGCTATTTCGGGACGCGCTTCGAAAACGCCTATATTATTTCTAGGGGGTGCAATTTTAAAAATAAAGCCCATGCCAGCTATTTCGAGAATTTAAGGTAATGAAAAAGTTATTGCAGTATTGAGTTTTGAAGTAAAATGCGGTATTTCAATCAACTTTCTTAGTGAATGAGATTCGATTTATTTAGAATAAATGGTTGAGATACAGTACAGAAGATAAAGAAAATACATAAAGAGAACTAATCTTGATTTATATATCAATATCTTCGATTCGTTTCATTAAATTAAAAATTGTAGTCCGCTAACGCTAAGTAATCACAATCGATAATTATATAAACAGTTTGTTTTTATAATTAGAAGAGTTAAGACCTGTATTTAATTAATTATATATTATAAAATGATTTATTGTTAGCTTTGCTATTTTACATAAATATTATAATTTATAATTTTAATGATATTATTAAGACGGTTTGATTACAATTTTTTTTAATGTTCTCCCTCCTACCTTCACTTTTACTTTTACCTTCACCTCCAAGGACTCCTCTCTGAAATTAAACCGAATATTTATGATGTCGAGATTTTTTAACTAAGAAATTCACGTGAATAAGATCGAAATTATCAATCGGTGTATCAGCCAATCAAATCAAACTTGACCTATGTTAGTCTAATATATAAGCCACATTTCTAACTCATCATATATCAATATCGTTAAAAAATGCCTTCATCTATCAACGTGGCACGGCTTTCCTCAGAAATTCGTCTGTTATCAAAGTTTCAGAGGCTTCATCCTTCCCTAGAAGTTTCGCCCTTTATCGGAAGTTTCGTCTTTTGCCGGAGGCTTCGTCTTTCACCAGGAGTTTCGCCTTTCGACAGAAATTTCTCTCTTCGCCGGGGTTATCGCGTTTCGCCAAGTGGTAGTGCCGAGAATTATCCTAGAATACAGAGACAACGTCCAGGCGACTGGATATGTAAAAGTTGTGGTATCAATAATTTTGCATATCGAACAGAATGTTTCGAATGTGGTGAGAAAGTTCAAAACCGAGAAGTAGCTCCTGGTGATTGGATTTGTCCGAAATGTGAATTCTATAACTTCCAAAGTCGGTTGGCTTGTTTCAAATGTCATACACCGGCTCCAAACTTTGAACAAAATCCTAATAAGGATCATCAAGAAAATTGATATTTGCTTAATCGATGAGTTTGTTTCAACAAAACTATAAATGTCGAAAAATATATCTGATTTTAAAGATAATGCAAAAAAACTTTCTAAAAGTATTGATTTTTTTGTTTTTAAAACATAATAACAAAGCTTATTATTAATAAAAAAAATATATACTTTTACTATAATAGAACATTAATAATAAAGTATGCCAAATTATTTTCTATAATAAAACAATAATAAAGTACGCAAAATTATATTTTTATTTCTTTATTTTGAAGTTTTGTTTGTCTTCGGCAGGTTTAAATTGAACCTGCCGAACAAACCATAATTCTCACTCTTACTGCATTTATATACTTCCAGATTGAAATAGGTTTCTTGTAGCATTATATTTATTAATTTAATACTGCATCTTGTATCTAACGCCAATGTTTAGCTGCTAATAAATTCTCGTGATATAAATTAAAAATTAAGTTAGCCAATTAAATGAAAGTCTGTATATGATCTACAAATCGATCTTTTTTGCCTGACACGTGAGATAATTGTTTAATTACGAAAGACAAACTAGGAACTTTTTGGCGATTACAACTTGATCCTAAAGATGGCACAACCGTAAGTTTATTCAGAATTTCAATATTTTCATTCTATTCTTATCGGAATAAACCTAAATTACTTTTCTAGATCTTTTAATTTCACACCTTCAGGAGGAGGTTTTGGTCTTGGAAATACAACTAGTGCCAGTGGCAGCTTATTCCCTGGTTTTGGAACTTCTCAACCAACAGCAACTACTACACAAGGCTTTTCTTTTGGCGGCTTAGGAGCTGGCACTAGCTTATCACAAGCAGGAAACACATCTACAGGTTTTTAAAATTGATTCACTTTATGGGTGGAAGGATTATAGTTCTAGTTCTAATCTATGATCACACCGATAGGGACTACCACTTTGAAGACACCATTTAACTGGACAGCAACAACAGGAACACCAGCTACTACGCAACCATCGTTTCCGAGTTTTGGCAGCATAAATACACAAGTGCCTTCAACGGCAGCGGGTTCAGGAACTAATGCGTAATGTCAGAATCTTAACATTTTATGAATTCAATAACAAATTTTGATCCAAAGATATTAATCATAATTAATGGTTAACATCTACTAGCGGCCAAATTGACATTAGGAACATCACAAAAGCAACTAGATTTTCTGATTTACCGCCGGAAAGTCAAAAGTTTCTTGCAAATTTGGAGTATGTTAAAATTATTTTCTTTTCAAAGCTTCGATTATTTTTTTAAGATAGAAAGTTAATTCTATATATATTTTGTTTATCAGTAATCACATACAACAACAGAAACGACTGATGTCGTCTATTGGTTCTATGATTTTGCCAAGTGTCAAACAGCAAATACAAGATGTTTTTAACGAATCACGAATATTATTTCAGGTACTCAACCGTAATCATTATCGCACTCGTCAATTTACATTATATTTATTAAACATATACCATGTAGAAATTGGCCCAATTGACTAATGACTTGCAAAACGATCATCGCCTCGTAAACGATTTGTTATCAGAAATTGATGTTCAAATAGGACTTGTGGACAATGCTCGTCGATTTTACGACGCTGCATCACAAGGACTAAGCAGCGCAATTGTGCAAATTGGTGACAATGTTTTTTCCAAGTAAGATTATTTTTATTAATTTATTCTTAACACACAAGGGAATTTTATCTGAATTATTTTTCTGTTTAACATTCAAAGATTTTATTATGACCTTATAGTATCATTCGAGAATCGACTGCAACAATATGATTCATACATCGAGGTTGGTCTTTTTATTTACTAGTATATATCAGTAAACTTACTATATTTTTTGGAATTAAGTTTTTACCATGACCGTAGGAATTGGAACGTCATTTTACCTGGTTGTATCAAAATGCTGAGGGTAGAGGCAATGGTAATTATAGGGAATTTACGAAATTTACGTGTTCTATTATGTTAAATATTATTCATTAGTTTTTTTGAATCTTTTCAGAACAAGATCTTATAGCACTCACGGAAACTATGCGTAATCAACACGGTAGTTTTATGGCAATTACTGGAAAAGTTGCATTGCTACATGAAGGTATAGAAAAATTACGTCAAAAATATCTTAATTATCGACGTAATGTTCTACAAGACAATGTCAACCCATTTGATAGACAAGATTCACGACTAAAAGATGGTAGGTTAAAATAGGTAATAGAAAATCTATATAATTATTTTAACATATTTTTATTCAAAATAGCCACACCTGTTTTATCCCTCACTGAAACCATGTCGCCGAGGGAGTTGGCACAAACAATCTCGAGAATACCAACAGCCAGTCAAACACAGCAAACCAATACATTCCAACAACCAAGTTTATTCTCTTCATTTAAGCGGTAAATACAATTTCAAATGCATAATTATTAGAAATTAGAATATTTTTTTTCTGTTAAAAACTTTATAGACAATCGTTTTCTACGATCATGTTTTTAATTTTGAGTAGGGTAAATTTAGATTGCTGCATTGTATTAAATAGTATATTTGATGCTCTTTTTTTGTCAAAGATAAATTTATTAACATTTTTACAATACATTATTTTGTATTACGTTCGGTTCAAGAAAAATATGATATACTGATAATAAATAACTTGTGCGTTTCGAGCGCGTTGTTACTCACGTGATAGTTATCAAGTCACTTCACTTGTCATTTATAAAGTCACTCGTAGGACTTAACTTTAACAATCAGCACTGTAGTCTCGTGTTCATATCCATAGTAAAAGGATTGTAGACTACCGGAAATCATTATATGAGTGTAGAAGAATCATTGGTGTTTTTAACCATTTGCTAGCGTTAGTCAGTGACTCAAATTGTCGCTTGCAAGAAACTTATTAACTTTATTAACATAAAAGATAGGATTTGTAACTGGAATTTCAGTGTTTCAAGCCTTTTATATTCATGGCACGAATAAGCGTCTAAATTTACTAATTTTAACTAAATAATGGTAGACTAAATACCTTTTAGTAGCTGATAGCATAAAAAATTCAAATTGAAGCTTTATACTTGTATTAAGTAAAATTTGAATTTGGATGTAAATGCATTCTATATATTTGAGTTTGACTTAAAACTTGTAGCGATAATTAAATAAATTCTAAATTGAATAAATATAAAAAAAAAAACTTTGATTATTTCTTCGAAAATCTTGTGATCTCGTGATTCTATTAGCAGATTGAAATTTAAAAAGCGATTACGTAACTTGATACTAGGTGAGTAGACCTTGCGCTTTTTGAATTTTTTTTGGGGGCCTTCAGAAACCACTTGGCATTTCAAGATAATTGTCAGAACTTAATCTGCATCGGACTTTAGTAAATTGGGTCAAAACCGTGATATTTGACTATGATTCCTGCAAATATGTTAGACGGTGTAAGGGATAAATTAACGGTCACTTTTATTATTTTTACTGTATTTTTTTAAAATCGTTATAATTTGACATTAGACAATATTGCGATTTTCTTTTTTAAAAATATTTTATTTTATTAAATATTCATTTTTTAATATTTTACATAAAATATATAAACCTAAAATAGACTAAAATACATGCGAAAACCTTTTAACTAATCTTTATTAAATCAAAAAATAAACTAAAAGTTCGAACATAATTAATTATTCAAATTCAATAACTATATAAGAACAGTACAAATAAATAATAATAATAAAAAAAATAGAGATACTTCGTTTCAGAGATTAAATCTCTTACTTGTCCCAACCACCACGTAGAGGTGTATCTCTTC